GAGTGAAGGGTAGTGGCGTTCTCTGACATAAAGAAAACAGAAGGAGCAGCAGGTTGTGGGCAAGTGGGACTGCATGTGGTTAGGGGAACAGAGAGGCTGGAGGATGATGAATCCTTAGTGGTTTATCCACTTTTTAATTACACCTTCATAACCCAAATGATTTCTTTAAATTATTTGGCATGCGTTTACATACAACCTTCTTTTGCCATTAATGTTTGTCATACTATACAATGACTTCCCAGTAATTCTGCAAGCTACTTAAAGACAGAAACATTTTAAACTTCTGCTTATATCACACAGTTAATCTGGCACAACACTTTGGGCTGGGAAAGTTCTTGCAAAATATTTGTGAAATAAAAATATATTATCAAAATTGGATTTTCTGATTTTGTTGAGCTACCACATTGCTATTAGCATGATTTCTATTTTTTTCTTGTTCTTCATCATTTCTTCACTCTTTGGTGTCCAAAATATTCACTTACTTGCACTTTATAGAATTTTCTTCTTTATCTTAAATCCCTACAATATTTTTATGCCAACATTTAAAACAGTATCACTTATTTCCGTTAATATATTTAATTATTTTATTTGGCCCTTTAAAACTTATTTGTTTTCTTAGAATTCTCTCCTCCCTCTTCTTTCACTTATAGTCTTTTTAAATTATCTCCCACTCATTTTCATTTTCTTTGACAAACTTCTCAACCTACCACTTCCTCCTTCTAGGGGATGCTTCACTTTTTAAAGTTTATATTTCCTTACAATAATATTTCTCCCATCTGTTTATTTTATTTTTATGTCTAGCAACATAAGTCTGTCATTATGTATCATTTTGTTTATTTATTATTATTTCTATTCTCACTTTGAAAGTCATGATGCTTCAAGTGAATATATCATGACTTTCAAAGTTAGAATATAAAATATTTTCTAGAGAAATCAAAAATATTTTCTGAAGAAAGAATTAAAATTTGGTACTGGTTTTACAACCCATCAACTAAGAAATGCTGCTCAGTACATGTGTGGTTGTTTCCTTGTCTCCTGATCTTAAAAAGGGGTCCTGATTAATGAGTAAGCTAGATGGAGTAGGTGTACCTGGAAGAATTGCACTCTACAAATATAATATATTGTTGTTTGATTTTCCTCTCTTCTAACAAATCTGGTCTTCTTTTTGTTTCATGAATAAAAATACAAAGATAATCCAATAACTGGAAAAATAAGTAAGGAAATAGTATTGACTGCTGAAAAGAGTAAAAATTAACAAAATAGTCAAAAAAGAACAAAGTTCCACAGAGAATATTACTGAAATTATACCAGGTATACAAGACCAGTTTTACCAAGATTTTAACTGCAAATATTTAAAGAAATTTCTCTCCAAAATGAGAAAAACTCAGTGTGATTATTTCATTCAAATAAAAAGCAATTACACTCCAGACTTGTTTACTGATCATTAACTACTAATTGGGTAAGGACTGAGATTACCATTATGTTTAGGAGACAAAAAGAATTTCTGATGCTCAGTGTAAATCAATAAGAAAATGGAATTTCATTAGCAAAGTGAGATTCACACCAATGTACTAGGAATATATTTATTATGACCATGGAAGCTATAAAGACACAGATACTAAGTTGTGATTAACATCATTGGCTCTAGAGTCAGACAAAAGTTGGTTGGAAAAATCTACGTAACCAGATTTTTGCAAGCTGCTTGCCTGTTTTTGTCTCTATTTCTAATTTGTACCCAAGTATGGAGAAAAGGGGCACCGTATCCTGACAAACTGATTGACCGGCTTAAATAACTGGGGCTCTGGGGCACCCAGCAAGTGATATCCTTTATAGCTTCAGTTCTCATAAGCCTATCTTCAGTGGTTAGAATCACTGCAACTTTCTACCTTAATGACGTTGTGTATCATGAGGTCAATTGAAGAAATGGTTAAAACATAACTCATCCATTTGGCCTGTCTAAAGCATTTTCATGAACAGCAATGCCTGTGTTGTTGATACATGATTAACAAGCCATGAGAGAGTAAATCTTCAAAAATATACAAAAGACTAAAACAAAATCACTTTTAAAGCATGAATTCTGAGTTCTGACAGGACCCAAGCTCAAATTTACTTTCTGGAGCATGTAGGTGGCCTTTGGTGAGTTACATGTCTCTGAGCATCAATTCCCTCAAATGTAAAACGAGAAGCACATTTGTACTCGTTTATTGGTTTATGATAGAGGTTAAATTAGATAATTTGGGGAAAGTAGTTGGCAGAATGCCTGAAACAGACTCTGCAAATCAGTCTATTCTCCTTCCCTGTTAATAATACATTGAAAAACCAGTTAGGGTCTTTCTTCATTCATGACACTTTTTTGACTTTAGATGGAATTAAGACAGAAGTTAAGGCCAGTCTATTGAACAACTCAATAACCAGTAGGAAAATGAAGGAAAGAAATTAGTCAATAATTCATTGTTTATTGGCTCTATATCCTGTAGATTTATTGTGGTTTTGAAAGAGAAGCTTGGATTTTTGTTTCCGTTGAATGTTTTAGTTAATCTAATATTGTATCTTTAGAAGCGTAGGCTCCTCCAGTTTGGTAACCTAAAAGTTAACAGTAAATTGACTTGCATTTATGTTAAAGTAAACGTTTCCTTAAATTTTATACCCTCCAAAGGCCTACATTCTTTAACAAAAAAATTTCCTTTCATTGTAAGCAACAGTTAAAATAATACTCTTTCAGTTTAATTAGCAGTTTATTGAATGACTAAATATATGTTTAAAGTGGCCAACAAATAAAATCATGTTATTATACTAGGAATAAATCCTCCATTAACATTAATTGAGTTTTAACAAATGAGTTGATTAGGAGGAAAGGAAAGAGGAACCCAGCTCACCAGATGCAACTTGGTGCCAGACACCTGGTTCCTGCATGAACCTAATGTTCTTTCGTCATAGCACCTTGGAAAAAATAACCAGTGGCCGCATTTCTTAAAAATAATACACTTCCCAGTTAATGAATCATGTACTGAAATGATTGCTTTTGATTTATTTACTCATTTTGTTTTTCAAAGAGTTTATATTCATTTCTCTGAAAATTATGGAGGATAATCAAATTGTCATGCATTTATACGTCAAAAGATCAGCACAGATGATATGTAGTCATGACCTAAATTTGTCTTGACTAGTTTAATTTCCTACTTTCTCTGCCATAAGTAAGAACCTATGCTGAGACTAACTCAAAAATATTAAAATATAGCAGAGATCCAGGTATGAACCAGGATATGGTCATGACAGGATTCAGCCAAATCTAGAGGACTCATGGGACCAGGAGAGTTGTAAAGTGAAGATCATAATGTTGGCAGGGAAGTGGGGTGAGAATTCAGAATAGAGCCCTATTTCTGTGCTGAAGTTTGTCATCTGATGGGACTGCCAGAGATTCATATAGGAGGCCTCACAAGTAGCCAGGGGTGGGAGTAACAGGGTGGGAAGGAAAGGGTTAGTCACACAGAATTTGAAAAACAAAACCAACAAAGCCAAAAACAGCTGACTAGGTCTTTTAGTTATTATTATTATTTATAAATTCTGTAAGAATTTGAGGGCTTAGAAGAACTTTGGACCAAAAGGGGTGGGGAATTTTTCCCTTCCTTCCATGTAGCTCTGTGAGACCTCAGCACAAGGAGAGACCCAGCCAAGAATGCTGCAGCTGGAAGATTGCACCTGGTGGGAGACAACCCATGGATGCCACAGCAGGGGCCAGTCCCTTCTCCAGCTTTGCAGGTAGAGGAGGCCTTGACAGTGTCCAAAAGGACTTTATTAGCTCACATGAATTCCCTTCAGAGGTCGCAAGATCACTGGCAAAGATTTCTGACCGAGGCTGGAGGGACCACCATATTATAGTTAATATGATTCTATTATAACCCAGACTGGTGTAACCTTGATGAGTACCTGTTAGAGGAGAGCATCAGCAGTGTTCTTTCCCACTAAGAGGAGGGACTGTGTATAATGGAGTGCTGGGAATTGCCCCACCTGTGGAGTCAACACACCCAGGGAGACTGGCACTGCACTCTTACTGTGTGTCAGGCACTGCTCCAAGTGTTGGATGAGCGTTTCTTCATTTCATTCTCACAACAAGCCTGCTACTGTCCCCATCTTTCATATGAGAAAACAGAAGCACAGAGACATTAAGTAGCATGCCCAGGTGACACAGTTTGTAAGTGGTAAATCTGGGACCTGAAGCAGAGAATTTGGCTCCAAAGCCTGTCCTCTTACTACCAAGTGACATTTGTGCCTGACACTGAGAAGGTGCTCGTTAAATGTTTGCTGATTCAAATCATTTTCCCAAGAAATTAAACATGCTTGAGCTTATTGTTCTGGACTTAATACCCTGACTACTCTTAAAAATCAAACAGAAAAATGCTTACAAGTACACCACAATGAAATAAAACCTGAAATTATCAGAACATGGTACAACGCTTTATTAGATTTTCTGATTGACCAAGGGAAATTACTCTATGCTTTCAATGTCTTCTTTTCCCACAAGGAAACTAATTTCCAGGAAGTTCTGTGACCAAGCCACAGAGCTGACAAGTAAATTAGTCTGTGCTGGACCTAGGATTTCCCTTGTTCTTCCACCTCTGTCCCCAGCAATTGCTTTGCTGCCTATTCTCAGGGGACGGGATTGCACTAGCCCTGCATGCTCCCTGGAGAATGACAACTTGAACTGCAAAATCTCAAAGGTTGTGCTTCTTTTGTTCTTCCTCTCATCTAGCTGGTAGGCAGAGAACAATTCTGGTTGAATACTCTATTTAATTATGTTTAATCATACTAAGAATCAACCAATGTTAATTATTACAAAGGGAGAAAATGGACAAAGCATCATGTACAACCATCCTGACTTTAGGCATGAAGCGTCAACACTCATTCAGCTCTGAGCCAGGCAGTTAAACAGCAAACAGTTTTAATAAAGGACAATTAAATAAGTCAGGAAATCCACTAGTCTGTTCTCCAATTTCACTCACCTTGGTGTGGAGGACGATGGGCAGAGGCAGTAAAACCAACACAGTGAGAACCACGAGGAGAAATCGGCGATAAACCATAATGTAACTGAAGAATTTCATTGTTCTGAGCAGGTGGCTTCAATAGTGTCCTCCTCCAAATAAAGCAGATGTTAAATAACCAACTTGGATTAATATTTTTCCAGCCCGTCACCTTCACTCACTGCCCTATATCGACCAACACAAGTTAAACTCAAATCTCATTTTTTACTGTTTTACTATCACAATTAACACGAAGAGATAAACCCAAGAGTTTTCATGAAAAATCAAAGACCATTTGCTCCTCTGGTTTTTCAAGGAAACCCTGCTTTCTTTGATCACATTCACTGAAATATGGACTGGACAAGCCTAGGAGAAGGCAAAACCATGAAGCTGGTCATTTGTTCACAATACGGCGCCTCCACCCCTTTTGATGTCCTCTGACTTCCAGAGTTCCTAACTGGAGTAGTTACCACATTGTCGTGGTGCCATGAGTGAGTCTCCACAGGCAGCCTCTATGGCCCTTTCTAAGGAAGTATGTTTTTAGTGTGTAAATTGAAATAACAACTAATTTGGAATTTCAGTATATGGCAGTGAAAGGGAAACTTTTTTTAGAGATGGATTTTTAAGGGATTTCTTGGACAATGTATTGCAAAGCCTTCTACAAAATTTATAGCAAATGTCCTTTTTGTTTAAAAGCAAAGTTCTGTGTATTTCTTGGATCCTATTGTCTCTTTCAACAGGAAACAAAAATAACCATAAAGTGTTTTATATAAACCCTCTATTTTAAGACCTTTGAAGGCTCGACTTGATACTGTTGTGCTGATACAGACTTCATAATTATCAGAGAATCTGCATAGAGATGAGTGATTAGGGACATTCAAGTGGTGTGTGTGTATATGTGTGTGTGTGTGTGTGTGTATGGTGTCTCCACATGAGCATGTGGGAAGATGGAGACTCTTCCAACAGTAATATGGAGGATGTATTTTGAAAATCCTCAGGGATAAGGACCCTGGTTTGTTTCACATTGCGTTGTAAATCGATGGTCCAGAAAACCTCAAGTTAGCAACTACTACTTAGCTTTAGATATAAACGAACCACATTCCCAGCCCTACTAGAATTTATAGTCAATTTCTCTTGACAGAGATAGCCTTACTCTTATGTAATCTATAGTTAGCTTTTAGGTCTTATTTCTAATTTCATACTAATATAACTCTGCATTGTCTTTCCATCAAGAAAAACAATTCTCTCACCAGTACTTACCATATTAATGTAAATGAGAAAGCATTTTTTCCTGTAAAAAATTTAAATTTCTAAACATCTATTATGGATAATTATTCAGGAAAATCAGAATAGTAAACAGAAAAAAATGTTTCCAAACCAGAAAGTCTTATTATATCTTGAATTTCTTAGATGAAAGGATAATTACAAATGATGTTAGTAATAAATGGTGAGTGACAATAGGTAACAATAGTATATAGTGTTAAAATTAATTTATGAACTGATTTACTCAAACCAGTTGTAGTACTTATTTTTTTGCATTAACACCCTGTACAGTTCTATAGTTCATTGCATGCTTTTTTTTAAACTACTACTTTTTGAAGAAACCGTTTTTGCTCTCAGATTTCCTTCAGCTACCTGGTGAGATGATTTGAGTCTCACTTTTTCATTTTAGAGGATTTTACTTTGTGAGATGACACCGAAAAATGAAAAGGCATTTGTGTGACATTTAAAGGAAATGAGAGCCTATGTGTAGGGAACTGGAACCAGACAGAGGCTAAGGGAAAAGCACTTGACATTTGTCAGTCCCTCCTTTCTGTACCCTATTTTCTCTCTACAGGTCCTCATTTCTCACCAGAGGAAGGCTCCAGAACCCTGTTCTCATGGTCTCGGCTCTAGCCAGCTGAATCTGCTATGGGTATTCATTATTACAAAATGCCCTCACCTTCTCCTTACCTTCAGCTAACCTCTTATTCCTCAGTGGTTTTCTCTTCACTGTCACCGAGAGAAAAAAATCTAATAAAATAATTTGCACTAAACATGAATGACTTATGTGAGCTGAATGTCTCTGCAAGAGTCACTGGGGAATGAAACTCTAAGGGAGACTTCGGGGTCCCTTGGATACATATCTTAAGGTACCCTTCAAATCACATCACGCTTTAACTAGTTCCATGCCTAGAACAAATTAGTCACAGTTGTGAAATTTCACCTCTTTGTACAGAAAATCATAAATCTTACTACATCATAATTGTGTTACGTTTTATCTAAACTGAATCACACCATTACATAATCATGAATCAGTTCATTTAAAACATGATTTTCACAAAAACATGTTTTTCTCCCAACATTCATTTGTTCTTAAGCTTCGACTAGCCCTTTATTAAAAAACATGTTTACCAAAAAAATCACAAATATTGTTCATTCATTCATTGTTATAGTTACCTCCTATGTCCCAGAGAGTTTACATTTAGTACCTCATTTAATCTTCAAAACTTGATACAAGTTATATATATGTATTGTTATTATTATTTATATTTTATAGATTTGAAAACTAACATTCAAAGAGGTAAAGTAAAATATCCCAGGTACTAAATGGTAAAACCATTCATTTGAATCCAGTTCTTTCTGGCACCTAAGGCAATGCTTCTTCTACTACGTTTGAGGTCTACCATCATGAATAATCATTTGGCACTAAGCACTAAATCTTCAAGTCTAGAATTTGTATGGAGACACCTGGTTTGGTTAGTTTAGGGACTATAGTTCTGAGGTTTGCCACTGAGCCCTCTGGATGGTCGTAAATTATGTGAAACTCAGGTTCAAGCACAGAGGAAATGAAGGGTTTCTTATTGGTAGTAAAGAAGTTAGATTGTCTAAGATGCTTGAGTTGTCTAACCAACTGGGGGGAGTGGAAACTAGTTTTTATCCAGTTGTCTCACATGCTTATCTCAGGCCTACCTTCTGGTTATCTCTTTCTTAGGCTTATGTTTATAATGTTAACTCCCAAATTTGTGTTCTTCAAGCCTTTCCTTCTTCCAAGAATATGGTTTCATCTCTGTTTTAAATGCTACCCAGTGTTGAAGTTTGACCTTGTAGATTCATCTCAAAACCATCCTAACAATCCCAGTACTTGCCCAAATCCCCGATCCTTGACTTTCCATGCACACACCCAGGGTGGTCCTTGAGTCAACTATATTCAAATAGTATCAGGTGCTTGACAAAAATGCAGATTCTCTGCCCTTTTGGATCTAAATGTGACTTTGAAACCTTCATGTTTTGTTGGCACCCTGTGTAATTTTGAATGCACAGTAAAGTTTGAAAATCATAGATAATATCTGTAAGATACATTGTGGCCTATGAGTAGACTGATGTTATTTATTATTTTAATAATGCATGTAAATCTTACATCTTCTGTAAGATTGTTAATTATTAGAGTACAAGGAAGTACAGACTACTTCCTTTGCATCACTTATATCCCTAGTAAAGTGTTGGGTACAAGTAAATACTCAAAGAATACTTTCTCTAAACTTACCTATGAGTATGGATAAATGGAAACCAATTAGCTTCCTTGTTTATATAGTATGGTTTACTCAAGCAGTTTGTCAGTAGAGTATATAGATTTGCAATGAGATATGGCTTTTCAATGGAAAATATTTGCCCCATTGCAAATATACCCATACATATAAATACTTAGATGAAAAAGTGTACATACTCAGTATACACTTTTACTATGCTGGTGAAAACAGCCAGGTGCATTTGTATATAAAAAGACAGTGCATTTGCTTCAATTATGTGTTTCTATTTTCACTCTTAGGGTTTTTAGAGTTCAAAGTGCATACCAGGTTTATTCAATTGCTATTGTTGAGATTATTGGCCAAAAAATGTAAGCCAGATTTTCTCCCAACATTCATTTGTTCTTAAGCTTTGACTAGCCCTTAATGCAAAAACCCACTCACAGTGTACCCTTAATTATATACTCTGGTTACCTTCATAAATTGCATAACTTACAAGCACTGCGCTGTGAAGGGTGTACTCTTTCTCTGAGTATATGAGCTGAATCCTCAAACATTTTAGATACTGTTAAAACTAAGATGATCTTTTTTCCTGAGTAGCATCCTGTAGTCATTTACATTAGCACTTTTCAGAGTTTCATTTCTTTTTCTGCTCACCTCTCTATTCCTTAAGATGTTGAGTCTTCTTGATGAAAGAAAAACATGTCGATTATGTATATAGTAAAATTTCCAGGCTGATGTCAATTAACTATATTAGTTTTTACTTTCATTTCCTAAGATAAAGGATAAAATAATTAGCTGGGGTAGAATAATCTACCCTAGAGACTGTATATTTATACACAAGTCCCTAAAACTTAAATTAACATCATTTATTATTAACCAAAATTTCAATAATTATTATTCCAGTGTAATGAAATAAATGACTGACTGAATAGATGAAGATTGAACTGTGTCCTGCAAGGTGAAGACCTGAATGCTCATGAACTGAAAAGGAAAGCAAATTCCTAAACAGGAAGACCTCCTTCTAGCAATAACAGCACCTGCCAGAATATGTCAGCTCTGAAGCCAAGACACCACTGGCCACACCCTCCATCAGGGTGGGGAGGAATAATTTTCTCTTGGCCGAGCCTTACCATATTTTAATCTTGGGTTCTCTGGGAAGTGAAAGAGGAAAATTCAAGGAGCTAGGAATGTAGAGAAGGGAAGAGAAAGGACATTCCAGGACACTTAACATACTATTAGAAAAGGGAAGTTGAGTAAAACTACTCTCAAATGTCTAGAACACTGTTTGCTCCACTCCTCTTCCTGCTTGTGTCCCCCTCCCCTGCACAGCCACCTGGTGTCACAGTCATGTCTTGACACAGGCAACTGTATTGTAATCCTTTTGAAAATGTTTAGCATATTCAGAGATGAATCCAGGACCCCTGGATATGGCATTTATTACATCAGTACTTGGGTGATGACTGCTGTGATTCTAGGACTCTTAGAAGTGGAAATCCATAGAAATGGATCATGGAGAAATACCTTATAATCCCAGCTGATCCAAGTGTCCACTCCTCCTGTCAAATCAGAAGGCTTCCATGGAACTCAGACTAGCCAGTCAGAAACTGCTTTTGAC